AACGTTTCGGCCTGATGATGACAAAACCTTGTCGAAACGTTGTATATTTGCTGTTATGTTAAACTTATATTAAAGTTTTTCTTCATTACCCATTCAAACCGTCTCCAACCATTACATCTTTCATTTGGACTGTACATGAGGGTTTGATTATATCTTTATTGATGTAATTTTTAAATGAAATAGTAAGAAACTAGAGTTCTTAAAAACTATTATTTTTTCAATAAACAGTACCACTTTTAATAAATAAAAACATTACATTTTATATGAGTAACATTTATGAAAACTTTGAGCTCTGTACATTGAATCATTTTGATACAATTGGTTGCGTATGACTAAAAAGCACAATCTGAACACTTTTCCCATGCAGTACTTCCCAGAGAAAAATACTTTTTTTTAGAAAATGTTCACTTTTTCTATATTTTTTTCAATGAGGTATGAATACTACGATTAGTAATTACTATCATAAACGACCATCTCTGCTAGTATCAATAAAAGCAGGAGTGTCTTATGCATTCTTTGTCTCAGTGTTACTCTCATCGAAAAAATAAATCAGACTTGCAAGTTAGAGAAATGAAACATAGAGGTTTTTATTCACTTTACCATAACAGTCTGTCACATTTACTTACAAGAAGGTAAAATCAACATAAACCAAACATTTTTATGTATTGCAGTAACTTACATTTCAATCCTTATTCAATAGTATTTACTATACAACATGGGCATGCAAAATGTTAACTACTTATATAAAACCAGTGTCTCTTGTTTGTTTTACCAATTCCTATAGGTTATTTCATCATAAGTCTTGAAACATGGGTGATTAATATCTCTGCTCTTTTTTTGTGCTAATTTCATATGCACCCTGCTTGATTCTGAAAAAACAAACTGTAATTAGGGTGTTAATTACACGTGCTAATGAATGTAATGTATTTATGTGAGTGATGTAATAGTTTTATCAGTGCTACCTGTTGGTGGTGTTCTTTGATGTTATTTAACTTAAAACTGTAAAATTGAAGTGTGTCTAGCAACACAAGTTATACTTGTGTTTTAATTAACTATATATGTTAGTAATCTTGAAACATCCAGCTCGTATGCTCTAAGTTTTCTTTGTATGAACTCTGTCCGGTTGTTTAATTGCATGTTGTGAAGTGTCTACAGAAGTGGTTGAAATTAATTTTCACTGTCATGAATATACTTCCACTTAATGTAGCATTAAGGAACCATTACTAAATAAGAACAAACTACTTAAATAATTTTTGCTCAGACATTAAATCAGTAAGACTTGCATTGGGTCGATGGTTAGCTTACAGAATTGCAATGTGAAAATCTAGGGATTGATTCCCTGCAGTGGTCAGAGTACAGATAGCCCATTGTATAGCTTTGATCTAAAACAAACAAGAAAATACACCAGTAAATCATTTGTTTGTTTTATTCTCATTATATTGTTGATATTAGGAACTCATGTCATTCTGTAGGAATTCATTAGTTGTTTTTGTAACAGTTTATATTTGGAGTTATTTTTAAACCATTCCTGTCTCTCTCTCGTTCTGTTTTAGCAACTACAAACAACTTATTTCTTGGCTCGAGCTGAACCTCGTGTCACATTAGTTGTTATCTGTGAAGGAAAGAAGTCTCAGAAAGATTCTCACATTACAAATTTTCTTCAGGACTTCTGCTCTCAGTTGAGATGTAACAAGGTTTTTGCAAGTTTGAAACCAGGTTCCAAATGAATAAAATAAAATGTTATATTTGAAATTAAAAATTTAAAAAAATATATTTTGTATATCGTTGTAAAAAGTGATGAGAAAAAATTAAAATGGTACAGAAATTTCGTATATAAAAATGTATAATTTGTGAAAGAAAATGTATTACTAGGAAGAAAATGGTAAATTAAAAACCGTTTTTTTTTCAGTACTCAACTAAATTGTCTGTGTGGATAAATGAATTATAAAAAATTAAAAATTAGTTTTGTGAAAAGGTAAATAAAAAATAAATGAAAGAATGAATATGAACTGAATTTAAAATGAACATTCCAACAACAATTCTAGTAATTTTAACATGAGGAAAAATGTTACAAGAAAGCATAAAAAGTGCTTAGAAAGAAACGTTTTTCATTTAA